TGCCACTGTCTCAGCAGACCGTCGATGATGCCGCGCCGCTGCTGCGCCCGCCGTACCACGCCCTGCCACTGGGTGCTGAGGAGCGCCAGCTTCATGTGGAACTCCTCTCTGCAGGGAGGGAATAATACTTCAACTGTGGGATCAATGTGCCAACAAAGTGTATTTGAATGTACCTTTATGTACCTGTCGTCCACCTGTCCCTGCTCCAGCATCCTCTGCCCGTCACTGATGATGGAGTGAAGGATCTGCTGCCGGCTGAACATCTCCGCCTGGAACAGCTGCAGGAAACACGTTTACACTGTTATCTATTCAACTCAAGACACACTGTTAATATATCAAATAAAAACATTAACCCGATGCTTTATAGACTTCAGCTTCAGGTGCTCTCTTCAGACCTCGTGGGCTTTCTGCTGCTCCGTCAGACTCTGCATGTTTCCGGAGATTTCCACGGCCAGGTTCTCCTCCGTCTGCAGCAGGAAGTCCATCCAGGTCTCACACTTCTCCAGGAAGCTCTGCTGCTGCAGCAGGAACGCCTGCAGCTTGCTGCACAAAACAACCAAAACGTCTGAATACTCGAAAAGTCAGACATTTTGAAAAAAGTCAAAATTCTGAGAAAAAAGTCAGATTTCTCAGAATGTTGAAATTCTGAGAAGAAAGTGAAATGTTGAAATCCTGAAAAAGTCAGAATTCTGAAAAAAGTAGTAATTCTGATAATAGAGTAAACCTTTTCCCACGTCTCTCTGTAATATGAACAGCTGATGTCTCAGTACCTGAACCTCTCGGTGGTCTGGGCCGAGGCGCTGCTCCAGCTCCGGTTCAGGCTCTGGAGACGCTTTATCTCCGGGTCGTTGAGAGGGAGCCGGTACCCGAGCTCAGTGACCCGGTCCAGCTCTGGAGACAAGCTGCTGAACCTCAGCATCAGACTCTGAGGAGAATAACACATTTCATTTACATAGCACACTTTAAAAACATCTCAAGCTGCTTCACAAGGCTATGAGGAGGAAATACAATGAAATAAAAAGTGATCTAAGGAGCATATTGAATAAAATAATATAATATAAAAAAGACCCGCGACCCGACCACGGATAAGCGGGAGAAGATGGATGGATGAATATAAAAAAGGATAAGAGCATAAAAGGTTAGAATAAAACCTTTAACCCAACAGAGGACAGTCAGTAAGATGAACAGGTGGGTCTTGAGGCTTTTCTTAACATGTTAATAATACCTCAGGTAACGGCCCCCCAGGGAAGTATCTACAGAGACAGGACCCACCTTCAGCTCCTGCATGCGGTCCTGGATGAGGGGGGGGTCTGTGGATCCAGAGGGGTCCGGGGCCCTCAGAGCCTCCTCAGCCTCCAGGACCCAGACTCCCATGGAGTCCAGCTGGGAGTTAAACAGCTCGTAGTCCTGGACCCCCGTCTGGGGGGGGGGGGGGGGAGGTTATTTACAGGGAATTAATGCAGAATATTGATTTCAGTTATTTTTTATTTTTCATTTTGTTTATTTGTTTATTTGAATAACATTTGATATTATATGTATTTGTTCTCCCTGTGACGTTTGACATCATGTTTGTTACCATGCACCATACCTGTGTGTGTGTGTGTGTGTGTGTGTGTGTGTGTGTGTGTGTGTGTGTGTGTGTGGTGTTGTGTGTGTGTGTGTGGGTGTGTGTGTGTGTGTGTGTGTGTGTGTGTGTGTGTGTGTGTGGGGGGGGGGTGTGTGTGTGGTGTGTGTGTGTGTGTACCTGCAGGGTGGTCAGCTGCCTGCTGATGGTGGTCTCCACAGCAGAGAGTCTGTGTTTGAGTGACAGGTGGTCTGACTGCAGGTTGGAGGCAGCAGAGATCTCCACCTGCTGCTTCAGCTGCTCCCCCAGCTGATGGAGCACCTGGAGGGAGGCCCTCAGGGGCCCCTGGGCCCTCAGGAGCTCCTGTAACACATGTCATATATTATTATTTTTTTTTTATGGATATTTATTTTTTCTGGTAATTTGTTTCTAAAAATCTTAGATTTTTTTTTTTCTGGAATGTTTTTTTGTTGTATTTCGTTTTTTTAAATGTATTTCTATAAATGTCTGAATTCTGACTTTTTAACTCAGATTTCGGAGAAACCTGATTTTTCTTTCAGATTTTCTTTTACAAATCGCATCAATTTGAGTTTTGTAATTGATTTTTTTTTTCAGGAAATGCTGAGATTTTCTGGGGAAAGTTTTTTTCCCTGGAAAAAATAAATATTTTTCCTGATGATGAATTCTCATAATCTCAGAATTATGAGGATTAATTCATTAATATTTTATTTTTTTTACATTTTCTTTCTTCTGAAAACATATTTACAAGAAATCTGAAAAAGTAAAAAATCCTGAGAATTATTTTCAAAACATTTCAGAAAAAGATATTTTTACTGAGAATAATTTTTATGAAGAATTATTATGCTCACGCTGCTCTTTGAATATTACACTATTATGATAATCAGTATTCAGTGTACTCACGCTGCTCTCCTGGATCCAGACGTTGACCTCGTCGTCGCTGATCTCCTCGCTGCAGCTGTTGACCAGCCGCTGCATGGCGTCCTCCTGCAGACGCATGCCGCTGCAGCTCTCCTCGTGCAGATGTTTATATCTCTGCCACAGCTGCAGCAGAGCCTCGCTGCTCCTCCTGCGCTCAGAGATCTCCTCCAGGAGCCCCGTCCACCTGCGGCAGGTCAACAGTGAGAGAAATACATAAAAGGTATTTTTAAGTATTTATTTATTTTTACCAGTTTTACAACGACAAACATTCTCAAAAAAAGTCTACATTGTTCTATATATTTTCTTTCTTTATTGTATTAAATATGATTTTTTTGGTGCAGTGAAAAGAGTTATATTATAGATGGAATAGATTTAAGGAACAATTTTGAGATTTACAATGCAACAGAAAAGAGATTTCACACATCTCTAAAACCTCTGCAGATTTGTGTCTTTTTCCAGCTTTATCTAATAATAATAATAATAATAATAATACACGAGACTTGTATAGCGCTTGTATCTAAGACATTTGAAAATAGTTTCTAGGGGTTATATGAATCTGATATCAGCGGGGGAGGGGGACCTTGCGTTGACGTCCTGCAGGCTGTTGTTCAGCGAGTCGGACAGCGAGGGGTGGCTCTCCTTCAGCAGCTGGTGGGTCACCGCTCCAAACCTCCTCACGCTACTCTCCTGCTTCTCCAGATCCTCCTGGAGCTCCTGCACACACATGGGGTCATATCTGAATCTTGCATACATCATATATTATTGATTATATATATATATATAAATACAGTGATGTGTTACCTGTAGGCTCGTCACCTGCAGCTGCACGGCCTCCAGCGAGCCGGTGAGGAGGCGGAGCCTAGAGACGGAGTACCGCCCCTCCATCAGCCGAGCGTTGATCTCCTCTGAGGCGCCGCGGTAAAGAGTCCATTGATCCAGCACTGAGGAGAGGCTGAGCTTCAGCTGACCCACCTGAGGGAGGAGGGGGGAAACCAATCAACTAATCAATCAATCAACAACTTTATTAATCCCGCAAGGGGCAGTTGGTTGTGAGCAGCTTCTGTACACAGGCAGGAACATACAGGGAGCCTGATGTGGATCATTCCCAATAGTTCTAGCATCACAATAATACTTTATTGATCCCAAGTTGGAACATGTTTGCGTTGCAGCAGCATAAAAAGACAAGGCATCGTACAATACAATTTAAAAGACAAGAAATAAACACCCAAATGTTGCGTGACACATTTACTGTGAGAAAATATAAAGCAGGATCAAATATAAGCATAAGTATTCAATTATATATATGATAAATAAACAGAGATAAATGGAATAAATCTCACCAGGTGGTCCAGGTGAGCCCAGGTGTGGTTGACGCCCTTGCAGCGTTCATCCATGACGATGGCGCATGCTTCGTCCGTCTTGTTCTGCACGAGAGCGCAGCCCTGCTCCTCCACCTGCTGCAGGTCCTGCTCCTTCTGCTTCACCTGCTGCTCCATCTCCTGCAGGAGAAACACATCCAGGTTAACAGAGACGACGACGCTCACAGTCTCTCACAGCGTTCTCGTACCTCACAGTCTCTCAGAGCGTTCTCGTACCTCACAGTCTCTCAGAGCGTTCTCGTACCTCACAGTCTCTCACAGCGTTCTCGTACCTCACAGTCTCTCACAGCGTTCTCGCTACCCTCACAGTCTCTCAGAGCGTTCTCGTACCTCACAGTCTCTCACAGCGTTCTCGTACCTCACAGTCTCTCACAGCGTTCTCGTACCTCACAGTCTCTCACAGCGTTCTCGTACCTCACAGTCTCTCACAGCGTTCTCGTACCTCACAGTCTCTCACAGCGTTCTCGTACCTCACAGTCTCTCAGAGCGTTCTCGTACCTCACAGTCTCTCATAGCGTTCTCGTACCTCACAGTCTCTCAGAGCGTTCTCGTACCTCACAGTCTCTCATAGCGTTCTCGTACCTCACAGTCTCTCATAGTGTTCTCGTACCTCACAGTCTCTCATAGTGTTCTCGTACCTCACAGTCTCTCATAGTGTTCTCGTACCTCACAGCGTTCTCGTACCTCACAGTCTCTCAGAGCGTTCTCGTACCTCACAGTCTCTCACAGCGTTCTCGTACCTCACAGTCTCTCAGAGCGTTCTCGTACCTCACAGTCTCTCATAGCGTTCTCGTACCTCACAGTCTCTCATAGTGTTCTCGTACCTCACAGTCTCTCATAGTGTTCTCGTACCTCACAGTCTCTCATAGTGTTCTCGTACCTCACAGTCTCTCACAGCGTTCTCGTACCTCACAGTCTCTCATAGTGTTCTCGTACCTCACAGTCTCTCACAGCGTTCTCGTACCTCACAGTCTCTCATAGCGTTTCTCGTACCTCCACAGTCTCTCATAGTGTTCTCGTACCTCACAGTCTCTCATAGTGTTCTCGTACCTCACAGTCTCTCATAGTGTTCTCGTACCTCACAGTCTCTCACAGCGTTCTCGTACCTCACAGTCTCTCAGAGCGTTCTCGTACCTCACAGTCTCTCACAGCGTTCTCGTACCTCACAGTCTCTCACAGCGTTCTCGAACCTCACAGTCTCTCACAGCGTTCTCGTACCTCACAGTCTCTCAGAGCGTTCTCGTACCTCACAGTCTCTCACAGCGTTCTCGTACCTCACAGTCTCTCAGAGCGTTCTCGTACCTCACAGTCTCTCACAGCGTTCTCGTACCTCACAGTCTCTCACAGCGTTCTCGTACCTCACAGTCTCCACAGCGTTCTCGCACCTCACAGTCTCTCACAGCGTTCTCGTACCTCACAGTCTCTCAGAGCGTTCTCGTACCTCACAGTCTCTCAGAGCGTTCTCGTACCTCACAGTCTCTCACAGCGTTCTCGTACCTCACAGTCTCTCACAGCGTTCTCGTACCTCACAGTCTCTCAGAGCGTTCTCGTACCTCACAAGTCTCTCACAGCGTTCTCGTACCTCACAGGTCCTCTCACAGCGTTCTCGTACCTCACAGTCTCTCACAGCGTTCTCGTACCTCACAGTCTCTCACAGCGTTCTCGTACCTCACAGTCTCTCACAGCGTTCTCGTACCTCACAGTCTCTCACAGCGTTCTCATACCTCACAGTCTCTCACAGCGTTCTCGTATCTCACAGTCTCTCACAGTGTTCTCGTACCTCACAGTCTCTCACAGCGTTCTGCACGGAGGTCAGATCCTCGATGCGATGCCTCCTCTTCAGCCTCTCCTCCTGAGAAGACATCCAGGACTTCAGAGCCGAGACGCTGCTCTCGTACTGCAGCCACATCTGCAGCAGCCCCTCCAGGACCTGGATCTGCAGAGATTAGAAGCACAGTCAGGAACACTGATGTTTTCAGGTGTGTAAAACACGTCCTCAGCAGCACATTACACTGAAGCTCCTCCTGCAGCCTCACTTCTAAACACCTCTCACTTTAATAACTCCTGATATATAATATATATATATGATATGATATGATATGCGCTGACCCTCTCGTTGACGCGGCTCTGGAGGATCTGCCAGCGTTGGTTCATGGCCCCCAGCCTCTCGGCGAAGTCGGTCTTGTCGCTGCGTTTAACATCTGATTCCTGACCAATCTGCACCGACTGGTTCACGAAGTCCACCGTCAGCTGCTTACAGCTCAGGTCCACCCGGAAGCCCTGAACACACCGTACACCGTTAACACTGCAGCCACTGGGAGGCAAAGAAAACACTGCAAGAAACACTCTTGTTTACTAGCTGACACATGCAACACAATTCTCAGATCATTCTGCACCTTGTGTTTGTGCAGGTACTCCCTGGATCACATGAGAACCCACAGCACTCTTCAGGTTCTCCTGGTTCTCCTCCATCACCCCCTCCATCAGAGAGATCCAGTTACTCAGCTCTGAGAGGGCGTGCCGCGACGCCAGCTTCTCCATCTGGATCTGAACAGGAAATAAATATATAAAACACAACGTATACATATGTGTGTACGTTGTGCAGCTTCTCCTGTAGGTTGGGGATGTGTGTGTGTGTGTTGTGTGTGTATGTGTATGTGTATGTGTGTGTGTGTGTGTGTGTTTGTGTGTGTGTTGTGTGTGTGTGTGTGTGTGTTTGTGTGTACCTGGTGCAGTTTCTCCTGAACATTGGGGATGTGTGTGAGCAGCTCGCTCCACTCCCTGTCGATGCGACTAAGCTCCGCCCTCAGCAGGACCGTGTCCACCTTCTTCAGGCGCAGCAGCTGGTTCCCCTCCTGCAGAACCGAGCTCTTCAGAGCGGAGCGGCCCTCCACCTCCTTACAGAACTCCTGACACACACACAGGATCATATCTTATTAAATAAAGAGCCTTTAGAGACAGTGAGATAATTAGTGATATAAGATCCATAGGAGCGGCTAACAGTAACACACTCACATGACATTTGAGACTAATAACAGATAATGAGGCTATTTTAAAGTAGATCAATGCTGTAATACACCAGTCATATACTCAATGTGAGCACATACACACACGCACACACACACTCACCAGGAAGGAGGACAGGTGGTCTCTGATGCTCTCCAGCTCCTGAGGCTCTGACACAGCCTGAGAGTTCCAGAAGTCGAGGCGCTGCAGAGCGGAGTGCAGCCAGAGAGAGAGATCTGCACCGTCCGTCTGGTACCTGCAGGGTGAGAGAGAGTTAGAGAGGGTGCTCTTCTTCTGTGGTGTTCCCCCAAACTGTAGTGTGGTCTATACTGTAGGTGTTAGTGCATGTCAATGGTCTGCAGAGGATAAATATCCCTGTGTTCCCGCAGAGGAGGGTTTCTGTCCCAGACACATTTTAGTTTTGGCATTTTTAGATCTGCTCTCCAGTGTGTGTGTGTGTGTGTGTGTGTGTGTGTGTGTGTGTGTGTGTGTGTGTGTGTGTGTGTGTGTGTGTGTGTGTGTGTGTGTGTGTGTGTGTGTGTGTGTGTGTACCTCCTCCAGTGCAGCAGCATGTTCTCCAGTCTCTTCTCCTCTCTCTTCACTCTGGTTCTGGTTCTGGTCCACCTCTCCCCCAGCAGTGACAGCTGGTTCTCCAGCAGGGGGCAGCAGAGCGTCTGCAGCAGAACTTTCCCTTCATCCAGAACCAGCTGCAGGCGGTTCTGCTGCTCCGAGAGCCGGGACCCCAGACCCTAAAGAGAGAGGAGATGCATGTCATACGTGAAGAAGACATGTACGTCTGGTAACTATGGGATGAGTGACAGTGAGGACCCTAAAGACCCTGATGGAGGACTGAGGCCCCTGGTCACCTGGTACAGAGAGATCCTGTCAGTCAGCCTCTCCTCTGTCTCCTCTACCAGACCCCCCTGCTGGGATGCTCTCCTCCACCTCCTCCAGGTGCACCATCAGACTCTGGTAGTCCTGCAGCAGGCGGCTCCACGTCTGGAAACATCAACACAATACGTTCAGTATTTAGACAAAGAAACAGCATAGAATGAATTAATATATTTAATTACAGTACTTAAAGTACATTTCTTGGCATATTTAAGATAAGATCAAATAAGATAGGACTTTATCTATCCCGAAGGAAATTGCTGTGCCAGAGTTACAAAAATACAATAAACAAGCAGCTGGGAGAGTTCTCCTGATGAGGCTCTCCTCTCTCTCTAAAGCTACTGACCCAGAGTCAGCTCTTAGTAACAGCTGGAAGAGAGGGGGGGGGGGGCTACAAGGATCTGTTTGGGGTTTGGAGGCAGGAACACTTCAGAGACATGTCCTTAGTAACAGCTGGAAGAGAGGGGGGGGGGGGCTACAAGGATCTGTTTGGGTTTGGGAGGCAGGACACTTCAGAGACATGTCTTTAGTAACAGCTGGGAAGAGAGGGGGGGGGGCTACAAGGATCTGTTTGGGGTTTGGAGGCAGGACACTTCAGAGACATGTCCTTAGTAACAGCTGGAAGAGAGGGGGGGGGCTACAAGGATCTGTTTGGGGTTTGGAGCAGGACACTTCAGAGACATGTCCTTAGTAACAGCTGGAAGAGAGGGGGGGGGGCTACAAGGATCTGTTTGGGGTTTGGAGCAGGACACTTCAGAGACATGTCCTTAGTAACAGCTGGAAGAGAGGGGGGGGGGCTACAAGGATCTGTTTGGGGTTTGGAGCAGGACACTTCAGAGACATGTCCTAGTAACAGCTGGAAGAGAGGGGGGGGGCTACAAGGGATCTGTTTGGGGTTTGGAGGCAGGACACTTCAGGAGACATGTCCTTAGTAACAGCTGGAAGAGAGGGGGGGGGGGGGCTACAAGGATCTGTTTGGGGTTTGGAGCAGGACACTTCAGAGACATGTCTTTAGTAACAGCTGGAAGAGAGTCGGGGGGGCTACAAGGATCTGTTTGGGGTTTGAGCAGGACACTTCAGAGACATGTCCTTAGTAACAGCTGGAAGAGAGGGGGGGGCTACAAGGATCTGTTTGGGGTTTGGGAGCAGGACACTTCAGAGACATGTCCTTAGTAAACAGCTGGAAGAGAGGGGGGGGGGGGCTACAAGGATCTGTTTGGGGGTTTGGCAGGCAGGACACTTCAGAGACATGTCCTTAGTAACAGCTGGAAGAGAGGGGGGGGGCTACAAGGATCTGTTTGGGGGTTTGGAGCAGGACACTTCAGAGACATGTTCCTTAGTAACATCTGGAAGAGAGGGGGGGGGGGCTACAAGGATCTGTTTGGGGTTTGGAGCAGGACACTTCAGAGACATGTCCTTAGTAACAGCTGGAAAGAGAGGGGGGGGGGGGGCTACAAGGATCTGTTTGGGGTTTGGAGCAGGACACTTCAGAGACATGTCCTTAGTAACAGCTGGAAGAGAGGGGGGGGGGGGGCTACAAGGATCTGTTTGGGGTTTGGAGCAGGACACTTCAGAGACATGTCCTTAGTAACAGCTGGAAGAGAGGGGGGGGGGGCTACAAGGATCTGTTTGGGGTTTGGAGCAGGACACTTCAGAGGCATGTTTTTAATATATTTGTATATATCTGAGACCTGTAATATATGCCTAAAAATAGTATAATCGGAGACCTTTCAGTCCCATTCAGGAAGAGTGCTTTTGGTCAGTTATCATTCTTGGTCACAGCAATACAAACTGGAACTCTCTACCCACTCAGATCAAAGACATACATTCATATAGGACCTGTACAGCTCACTTAAAAACATGGTTCACTGAGAACTGCACACAGTCGTCTGTGTTGGATGTGGAGTGTGTGTTACATGTTGTCATCATGGATGTTGCCCCTGGTTTCTGTTGTGTGATTGTGATGTGCTTTATGTGACATGTATGTAGTAACGTGTGTTGTTTGCATTTTGATGTTCTCTTTTATCCTTTCTTTATAACTAATGCTGTTGATGTATTGTGATTTTAAAAAGGTGTCTATTATCATCTGGACAACAGCTGGAAATGAGCCATGTCGGCTAAAGCTGCCCCATCTACAGTTTCCTGCTCCAGTTGATCAATGGAGACTGTCCACGACACTATACACAATACACTCAACTTTAAATCAGAGTGCACATCAGTGTGTTTAAGCAGAATGTCTCACCTCCAGGACCCCCTGCAGCTGCACCCCCCTGCTGTGCGCCTCCTTCAGGACGCTCTGAGCCTCCGTCAGCGCCTCCTCCAGGACCAGGGTCTCTGAGGGGGGGGGCAGCACCTTCCTGAAGTAGGTCTCAGTGAGCACCGTGTGGGACTCCAGGCCCTGGAAGAACTCCTGGAACACAGTCAGTAGATATTTAGAATAATCAGCATTTCACAAACAAAGGATTCAAGTGTGTCACATCTCATAAGATGCTCTGAAGTCCTTGAAGGAAAACAATGTCCAAAATAAAATAAATATGAATCTATTTTTCCACTTTCATTGAGTTATGATTTTGTTATAACATGAGTCCTGATACATTGACCATATATTAAGCATGTTTACCCTTTAATTCCAGTGTGTTTACATAAATACACACGTTAATTAAGTTCTTTAAATCATCAGCAATCATTTGGATTTGAAAGCATATTTATTTTTTGTGCAGTGACAGATTTTACTAAGACAAAACACACCTGTTACCCATTTCTCAAACTGCTATAAAATATAATTAATATAATATATTATGACTAAAGTCCTGAGTATACTAACAACATATTAAAACATCTTCGTCATTTTAACCCTTTAAATGTTTGTTTACATAATGCAATTATTTTCTTTAAATAGAAAATACAAACAGACACATTTCAATATTCTCTGTAAATTAAAAGTGGGGTAGGTAAGTTTGAGAAACCGGCTCGAGATACACTTGTTATTATATTCCATGGAATGCTCTTAACATCCAGATAGCAATGAATATCTGAAGTGCTTTGACAAAAAATCCATAAAATAATGTCATCTGTGGAAGCCGTAGTTCTGTAAAAAGCACGACCAATCATCTGAGCCGGCCCGGCTAAAGTAACTGGATGGCCTACCTGCCTGTCAGCCTTCCATCTGTGCACAAACTTATCTCGTGCCCTCATTGGTCATGTGTGCATTCGTGTGTGTTGGAGGAGGGGCTCTGTAAGGAAGTGGCAGATTTTCTCCGGCTGTGTATTTTCAAATTCTAGCGATCTCGAGCCGGTTTCTCAAACTTACCTACCCCACCTTTAAATGCTTGGATTCATATATTTTTACATTTATTAAATATACATTTTGGTGCATTTTTTAGCACAGGAAAATAGCATGTATTCGTCCCATAGGGCGACCAATGAGAGTTGCTGGAAAATAGTAAACAGACGTTTTAGATGTAAAGCTGATATAATGGAAAGCAGCCTTCAAATGAACTCTGATTTGAATGCCTTTCATTAGGAATACACACCCTGATGTCACACTGACTACACACTGACACACACTGACACACACTGACACACACTG